TATGTTTGATCAATTTTATAATGACCAAGTGCAAGCGTATTGATGCCATCTTCCAGAATAAACCTCTTGTCATCGTCAAACGATAGTACTTTCTTATTCATAGTTAAGGTTTGAAGGTGATGATTTGTAGATTTAATTCTTGTCACATTCTCATAGTAATTTTGTCCAGTTATAAGACAGTTAAAATAATGTTGATGTCTGAGGAGATGTTTAACTGTAGCACCATCAGCTCCTTTAGCTTTTTTGACCTCTAAAGCTTGCTTGTCTTCTTCATATAACCATTTTAGAGGAATATAAGAATATAACTTTGGTCTTAAACCACAATAGATAATATGACCATCTAATTCGTCTTTAAACTTGCCAGTGACTTTTTTATTTTTATCAGAGTATAAGAAATGGTCTTTACTATATCCAGAGGTATCAAAATAGTGCAAGTCACATTCTATTTCCTTGTAAAAGTCCTCTGTAACTATAGAATACATTAAAGAATCTGTATCTGTCATAAGAAATCTTTTGTTCTTAAATTTTGACATATAATTATAGTGAAAATCATACATTATTACTTTACTAATATCTAAAATGGTCATTCCCAAATATATTGGTTTATTAAACTTTACAATTAATTTATTTAAATGTATAGCATGTAAATTGTTATCAAACTTTTTGCTACAATCAAACCTTGGATTAGTGACATATTTACACTAACCTTATAACTAACGTTATGACTGGGACGGGTGGCGTCGTCCTGTAATCCAGCTACTGGGAGGTCACGAATTGTGGATATTTATAGGGATGCACTGTGGATGCGATGCTCCCTGGTGTGGATTAACGTCCGCACTAGTGAGTACTACGACTATCCGCAGTATTATCCTGATAATTAGACCAATTCGTAAATTACAAGGAAAAATGTGGTTCGGATTCCACTATAAACTGTAGGTCCCTTAGTTGCCATTAGCTGTATGGGCTATTAATTAACAGCTGTGTCTAAGGAACATGTCGGCCTTAGTCACTAACAAGACTACAAGATCGCGCCACTCATCCTACACTCATCCTTCACTCATATTTGGGTTAAAATACGCACATAGTGGCGTCCCCATCTTAAATAATTGAATTGAATTGAATTTTGTTAATAGTGACTCATCTTTGAGATATATATCACGAAACTTGCGTTGATTCATAATTGTTCGACCAAAGAGACCATTATTTAACAATTTGTAAAAGTCTTTTTCGAAATCATTTTTAGCACATTTGCGTTTTTCAATATTAAAATTAATATAGGGTGCAAGCCATTTGGACTGTCTAAATTTTAAAATTCTATGGTATTTTGTAGCAACCAAACCCAATTCCTCATATTTTTGTAATGCTTTATAATGTAAAATATATTTAGTTTTGTCATTTAAATTAGGTATTAATTTGCCATTCATTTTCTCAGGTGCTAATGGATAGTCATTATGTAAATCATGTAAGCTTTTATCATATTTTAAATCAACTTCTAAAATGTATCCAAACTCATCATATTGATTGTATTTGTAGTCTATCTCATTCGTCCAACAAAATCCATCCACGGGTAGTGTCTCACACATAGCTGTGGAGTATAGCGAGTTACAATCTAAATATATTAAATACACACTTTCTTGATTGGGATCATAATGTTCGCCCATATATCTATTATTGGCTTTAGCGTAACGTGTAGAAATCATACTGACTCCTCCTCTGATTGCACTTTCTATGAACAAATGCATGTCAATATCTTGAAATAATTGTAATTGTATACCAGTCATTCTAAGACAGGCTTCCCATGTTAGTCCTGGAAGTGAATACATATGTACGGGGTCAAGTTTATAATCTTTTAAACACAGGTCTCTAAATGTCTCAAAGACATCAGCCAGTAGCAATACATCTGTTTTAAGATATAAATCATGATGTTCTTGTAAATTGTCTATATTAAAATGGGTCCAGACAGTTTTAGCATGTTCATATTCGATGGGAGAGATATGTTCTTTAGTTAAAGTACTGTAAAATTTTTCAATTGGAGGTAGAGACTCTGCAAACTTATCTGGTCCTGTCATATATTCATAGGGAAATACACCTTTGCGTTGTAGTAGTGGATTGTCTATAAATCTAAATGTATTTAAATTGGAAGCTAATTTGTATAATGGAAGGGATAGAAAGTTATAGGAATCTAAAAATACTAAATCATCAACAGAGAATGAAATGTACTTTTCCATATCTTTGGCTATGCAATTTAATTTACGATTATATTTTCCCAAGTGTTGCATTATTAAATGTCCATCATAGTTTTTCAAGTTATGGAAGAATACTGGTATTTTCTTTGTTACTTTATAGTTTAAATTACAATCATTGTGGGCAGCTCCACGGTATTGGCCATTTAAATGACAATGTTCTCGTACCCTATCAAAATATAGGGGCTTTTCACAAATATGACAATGTGTTGAGTTTTGGAAAGACACCTCTTGCTCTGGAGTCATTACTAGGGGAATATATATTGCCATTTGACTTTTAATATAATCATAAGTCTGAAATAATCTTTCAAAAAACACATCCATAACATTTGCACCACTGTACAACTCTTCAGAAATAATTTTTGAATCTTTTACTACAACAAATGCAAATCCAGATGGAGTATGTATATTAGAATTTACGAAACATTCAAAATCTGCATAAATTACATATGGGGCTTTTAGTTGATATTTATGATTTTTAAATTGTAATGTATCTTGTTTCGACATTTCCACTCGTTGGGCATCAAAGTTCTTACAATATGTTATATGACGTTCTAATTTATCGCTGGTATAAAAATGTTGCAAACACAACTTGCAAAAATGCTTCTTATTGTTATTTTTTGTAGAGTGGAGCATTAACCTATCGAAATCACGAATTAAACAATAATGTGATTTACGACCTTCTTGTAATAATAATAAATCTATATGAGTATTACTACTATTTAGTTTGGTTGTTCTTAATGGATATACACATTTCTGGTCTTCAACTCCAAAAACATTAACACTTATATTATTCTGTCTTTCGAATTTATCTATATCAGATATTTTTACGGGATATTTTATATTTGTCATATTTAACTGTGTTTCATAGGGTGTATAGTTAGAGACCCTATTAGCACTTTCATTGATACAATTCCTTGGATATAAAGCTGCTAAAATTGACCAAATGAAACATTTATTGTCAAAATTTCTTATATTTAGAACTGCTTTTGTCAATTTAATACTTTTTGGTGTGGGGATATATGACTTTGGAGTTAGGGGCTTATACTTATAAACATGCAGCTGCCAATATTTAGTATGCTCATATATCCATCCACTGCCTTGAGCTTGATATTTGTGTATGGAAGCATCAATCTTTAAAAGTGCATTTTCAATTTGAGGCTTTAAATCTCCCTTCTCAATAGTTAAGGTAGTAAGGCTTCTAAAATCTGCAATACATTCTTTTTCATTAACTAATTTTCCATTTTGATCCATTGAATATTTTATAAATTTAATTCTCCTAACTAACGTCCATTTGATTGGCAGAGAACAAGACTTAAGAGTGTTTTCAAGGTCAGCTCTAATTGATTCACCAACAAATTTTATCATTGTGTATGGACAATTATTGCAAGAATTGATATGTCTTCTAAAATGTCCAACAACATTTTTCTTACAAAATTACAAGTCTTGTGACTTTGTAATGTGTGTGACTTTAGAGCCATGTAGCTATCACAGATTAAATCACAAACCTTGCACAGTTTCACATTCATTTGATGCATTACCTTATAATGACGAATCAGGTTGCTTTTGGTGGAGAGCGACACGGAGCAGTGTTGACATGACGGCTTCATGTTTAGGAATGAGGTCTCGGGCTGATGCCACCTCTATATATAGACTTTTCGAAATTTTCAAAATTTTTGAAATTTTTAAAAATTATTACAAAAAAATTATAATTTGGAAAATTGTAATTTATAAAATTTAACTTTAAACATTTTTTTTAAATTAAGAAATTACTTCAACTAAAGGTTTCCCACCCAGGACTCAATCAAGAGCTACCACTAGAGACAAGGAGCAAGAAGCAGGAGCTTGCCTGTGGCCACGGCAGTGCCTATAGGCCGGGAGCACGCCGTGAGCCGGGAGCGCGCCTGTGTTCGCGTACAAACCTCGCACTGTCAAGTTGATGATTTTGAGAATATACATGTGAATGGGTGTTGGAGATGGATTTGAAATTATACAATATAGATATGGAGTTGTACATTTATATAGGCTTGTATAGGCCCCAAGAGCAAGTTTAAGAGGTATATCACAAAAGACAAAGAAATGAAAATATTAAACAACTCATACAACTAATATATATAGATAAGACAGAAATATAGACAACAATATATCAACATATCAACTAGAAAGGGGAATGGTAGATGTACTAGCAATTAGGCATGGGCGGGGAGTTGGCCCAAAAACCTCGCGCCCCAAAAAACGGCGGCGACAAACTATACTACTATACATATACACATGCATGGGTCAATAATTTTTTTTTGCTTAATATCAAATATATATAGGGAATAAGTAAGAAATAAGGTTTAACAATTATATAGGGATATTTAGGCAAAGATCAGGATTTTTGGAATTGGTGGCCAAAAAATGATCCCCATGTTATTCTTATGGGGAAAACGTGCCTAAAGTGGGGTATCTTTGCTAGTTCACCACTACTGACGTTAAATTGGCTTTAAAAGTCACCAAACTTCTTTAATCATAGCATAGACAAATGGATATCCAATTCTATGATTATGACTATTTCTATGACTATGATTATAGCCAATTTTCCGGGGAAGGACCCCCGCCCCCTCCTTAGTGGTGTAGAACAACCCTGTTAGCCCTCCCCCCCCCTTAGGCAAGGTCCTAGAACCGCCACTGCCACCATTGCTCAAACATAAACTTCTTTCATTCTACAATCAAAAAGGTCCTAGTTATGATGAATTTTTTTATTTGTTGTTCTAGTACAGACGTCTTCCACAAGTCAAAGAAATCCTGGAGGAGTATCAGTACAATTGTAAACTGCGAGACATGAACAGCTTGCCCAAGAAGTATCCTTTGATAGTCATTGAAGCCCCACGGAGAAGAAGTGAGTTTATTATTTACCAAAACCGTATTTAAAACTTTAACATTTTACTATACTTGCAAATTTTTTATCTACACCTATACTTACCTATATACTACAGTATTTTATTTATACTTGTGAATATGGTAAAACCCGAGAATAACAAGTCTATGTACTTAGATCTTCTAGAATCACTATTGATTAGAGAATGTTCATGTATTTCGTAATCAAAAACGTCACCAAGAATAAACATACGAGTTCAATTTTACAAATAAATAACATAGTTTCATTCAGCTTTTTAGCAGTGTAAAGGGAAATTTAAAATTTAAACAAAGTATAAATCTAATTGTTGTCATGAATACTTATTTGCCATCATAAGCCCATTCCCAGAACTTTAAGAATTTATCGCCAGAGCTGTAAGTGATTTTAGTATCTGGAATAAGAGACTGAAAAATCTTCCCAGGCATAATATAGATCATATAACTTTCACAATCAGTCAGATATGTTTGGTCGTGCAGAAAAGACATGCAGACAAACATATATTTTATTTTATATTGAGATCCAAAATTGAGAGTAAACTTTTGATCTAATGGTTATGTTTATTTGGATTTAAGTTTGATTATGTTTCTAGTTTCCATCAAGTGTCTTTACAATGAAAAAGCTATAATCTGTTGCATCTGACAAAATAATAAAAGTTAAGGGGTTCCTAATTTTTTCAAACAGTGGATAAATTATTGCACAGGTTTACTTAATTTCAACCCTTTGTATGTAAACGTAACTAAACTAGTATCTCAGTGTTGGTGCAATAGTGTACAAACTTAATTAGGACCTAAGATTCAACTTAGGTCTACATACAGGTGCTCTAAATATATTTCCAGCAACCTTAACGATATTAATTCTTCAACCAACTCACTATAACAATAACAAGGTGATACAAGTTTCGTTTGTTACCAGAGCGGTTCCTCGTAGCCAAGCGGCTTGCCAAGGAGCTAGATGCAGCCATCATGTTTAGTCCTCCACTAGGATGGTCCAAGTTTAGGGAGGCGTTCAACAGGTCCATAGAGATGAGAAGGGCGTTCCATTCCCTCAGTATTTATGGGTCTGCAAACAACGCAATGCAATATCTGGGCCGTAAACCTGTTGTTATGTCAGGGTAAGTGGTAGCACTGAGTTTAGATATACTGTAGTAGATGCATAATTTAAAATTAACAAAAACATACACAGTTATACTTTCAATGAGAACTTAATTAAAGAAGTACCATTCGCATGTTAAAGCTGAAGCTAGTTTAAAAATGAAAATGACAGTGGTTGGATTGAACCACCTGCTGACCGAGAGAATATGCTAATGTCTATGATGTGTCTATTGTCACACACGCAAACTTGTTAAGCAAGCCAAATAGACAGGACAGCTTGTTGTAAATTAGGTATTTTTTGTAAAAGGGCCATAATAGGTAGGATTTTGTTTAAATAGGTAGAACAGGTCTGTACGTACAGTATGTATGTGAATCTATTTGTGTTAGGAAACCCGTTTAAATACCGGTAGTCTTAGAATACTTTTTCAATCAAAGAAAATCTATTTTTAGTTGACAACCTTCCTTTCTTTGTGATTGACAAAGTGAGACCATGAAATATTCCAATACTGTGTGTGTAGGCTATATAATGCGTTTCCTATTGAAAGGATTCAATTACTTACTGTACATAGGTAAGCCTGCTCTTCCTGTTGAAACTATGTCAAACCTTTTTGTACACTGTGGCATGTGTCACATAACCTATCATAGTATCAAATACTGAGGGATGACATAAAATTTGACAGTAGCAATATCCTATGAGAGGCTGAACTATTACGTTTTATCAACTACATGGTGAGGAAATATGAGTGGCCCAATTTATAATAATTGGTAAAAACCTAATACTAATTACCCTATACATATAAAGCTTCAGCTCAAGAAAATCTCTGGGGTGACTTTGAAAAACCTTGAACATTGAGTTGTTTATAAGGAGAACTTTTGTTTCAGATTTTGGATGGACCAAGCAACATTTGCTATCGCCAAGAAGTATTTCCCCAACTTTCCTCCCCAAAACTCCTCCGTTTTCCAGTGGCCCAAGGATCTAATTAAGCCAGACTACACTTTCTTTATCAACGAGCCTCTACCAAGATCATTCACCGAAAACAAGGAGGAGTCGATTAGATATCAGTGAGTAGTTTGTAAAAAAAAATAATTCCTAACCTAAGGAGCAACTGCTTAGAAATCGTGTTCTATCAGTAAGAAACAAAAATTAAAATTATTGAAGGTTCAAAAATAAGTTAATTAGTCGTGTTAAGTACTGTTGATTATTTTTTAAATATTTTTAATAAAATAACCGTTCTCTTTCAAAACGTAAAAAATCTATTTACAAATAAAACAAACACAAAAAAACTATTCAAGAACCAAAAAGATTCTACAAAAAGGGTCCACAAAAGAAGTATTTATAAATGTAAAAGAAATATACCAAAAAGATAGTTTAGAGGAGTTACATTTAAAATGTTGCCAAATAAATTCTTAGAACATATTTTTCAATATTTCCAGAAAATTGCAATAATCCAAAAGATTTTGGGTTTGAGCTTCCAAGATGAGACAAAAACCCGCAATGAAGTCAAAACCAAACCTCATGGGGTTTAAACTTGTATGTTGAAAATGCGATATGTAGATTAGAATAGTAATAACTGGATGAATTTTTATTAAGAAAATTTGAGATAAAGAAAACCCTCTAACAAGGGTTAAACTAATTTTGTGGTAAATATGAAAAATCCTTGAACGGAAATGTTTGTGGTCAAAACTACAGGATACTTTAACATAAAATTGCAATATATAAGATTGCGATATATTAGGCATTAAGCTTGCAGTAAACCTTTATCACAAAATGTTTTTATTATGCCAGGAAAAGACCAAATGCTATTAAGAGTTAAAAAAAATACTGCAACTCATTTCAAAACAGAAATTTCACGTTTCAGTATATGGAATCTGATCCCATCTGTCTTCAGAAGGGAAGAACCCTAAAATCCTTTGATCATCTTATACTCAATATCGCTAAAGAACTTGCTAAACTCATAGTAAGCAGATAAAAATCAACAGAAAATTTGTTTTTCTCTATAACAATAAATTGTGTACTTTCAGGATTTTACAAGTGTACAGGCATTGGGCAGACCCTCCTGTCATAGAACTATACATGGATGATGAAGTAAAGGTTGCGACTACAGTGGAAGATATTCTGAGATATATAAACAGTCCGCACTCAACAACAGTTCCATCTGAGTCATAAAAATTAAGAATGATATTAAATTTAATCATTTTGTTTCAATGTTTACCTTCATCCATTTCTAACTTTGATAGAGCATTTTTTATTTGAAGAAGTTGTTAATCTTCCATTTATTTTGAAGGAAAAGTTTGAAGTGATTTGCAGTACTATATAACACAATATTGAGATTATTTGGCACTGCAATAATTCTCCATTTTTATTGGATTCTGAATTTTTATTTTAGCATTTTCCTATTTCAATAAATTGCATTTCTTTTGCTTTTTGTAGGGTTCGCTCCAAACTCTTGTCTTAACTTCTTATCCTAAACCTTTTGTTAGGAAATGGTTTCCTCATATTATGAGGAAATGTTAAACTATACTAAATGTTGAACACTAACATTCACGTGTTATAGTATGATTTACTAATCCTCAAAATACACAGCAAAACACAATAAAACAATTGAACAATGCATTACTTTTCAAGAGGCCAACCATTAAAGAACGATTATCAACAATTTAATCATTGTTTGGTACAAGGAAATAAGTACTTATCTATATTTCAATTCTACTTGTGTCCTCTTATGGCACATAATGTCATCCTCTTTAATTTGCATTCGTTACTCATCACAATTGCTTTAACATGGTGAATTCAATTTGTTTGAGTTTAGAAGGTGCATACTAACTTTTTGCTTCATTTAAATCTTATGAGCTATGCATATTTTGGTTGGAAATCTTTGACTATTGATACTCTACACAACCATGGAAAAGACATTACATTTCAATGTTATAGCCAGTTTTGAAATTCAATTACTTACTGACCAATTGACAGATCGGGGTGATACATCCTAATTGTAATTGTACACCAACATTAACAACGACAAACTAAATGGGGAATTTATAGTAAACTTTACAATAACAGCTCATTACTAAGAATAGTCCTCTTTCCATTAACATTTATAACAATCTTATTTTAGGTATGTTGTATGTTACATGTTTTATTTTAATTCTACGAGGTTATGAAATTTATGAGTTTTCTGGACAATTCACCAAATGAACAATTTTTTTTCTAAACCAACACAACCAAAAGTTACTGACACACCCTCACTATCTTTTAATCTAATTATTATGATGATCGACCAGATATCAAAACACATTAAGTATACCGGTACTAGCAAGTTTATTTGGAAACAATCGTACGGTACTATACAAATGAAGATGTCTATGAAAATATATGTTTACGTAACCATTATTAAATTTATATGCTCAAGTATTGGTGTAATGTGTAATGTAAATGTTTCTGAAGACTTCTCTGCAACACGTAAGTTTTGAAAGTGATATTCAACAAATTTGGGTATTTTTCTACTACCTACAAATGAAATTTAGCCTCAAAACCTAAAGTTAAAATTTTTACTTATAATCGTATTTACATTTAACTTGTGCTCTGGTGTCAGCATTGTATTTGTATATCCGTCTATCCATTTACACTCATGTTTGAGAAAAAATCTATACATTTTATTAATTTATTGCATCTAAAAATTGACTCACTCTAAAAATTTTGAAAATTAAGACTAAGGATTTTGAGTACGGTAGCTGGTTTTATGGGATTTTCTTGGTAAACTAAAGGTTGCTGGTTTGGACTAAAAAAAGACAATAGATGTTTTGATGACTCAAAACTGTACCTGATAATTACCTTAATCTTGCTGAAGACTAATTCATTTTCAGACAGTAACAGGGAGAGCTATCATATCATTCCTTTATCATCTTTTTAAATTTTTGTTTATACTTTGAGTGCTTGCTTAGGTTTTATATCAAACATTCATTCTGGTGGATTTATGTAAAATGCCAAGTACTATGATTAGCTCAAAATAAGATTAGTAAAATATGGGCTTTCATGTGTTCTGTTATTAAGTGAAGTTACATTAAAGTGAAGTAAACACGGCTGAAAAAGGATTGTTAGCTAAAAGAAACATTAATAAGAAATACTTTAGTGCGAGTTTACATACAACTTTTTCCATCTGGCATGATTTCAAAGTTGTGTTATAATTCTTTGTCCTATCTGTAAAGACCGAACTATTATTTACTACAGCAATACGTGTTTCTGTTTTAGTGGACCATCCCATGAACAGGAATACAAAGCGGATGGGTATATTTCACAGTGAACAAGAAATATTAGACATGTTAGGTGAAGAATTAGTAAGGTAAAGTTTAAATGTAATACATTACAGAAAACACTTAATAAAATACAACATAAAAAATGCCCAATATAACCACGATCACATTGTGTTTACCCTCATTTTGGGAAAATATAATAATCAACCATAAATGTGAAAGACCACAAGAGTTTTCTTAAATTCTTCAGCGATTTATAGTTTGTTAATTGTTACAATAGAAGATTATGTGGTTTTAGTTGAACAAAACTTTAATTTTAGTAAAGAAATTTTTAAACTAGGTAGTGTTAAGCTGGAGTCTTAGAGAGAAAATGGGTAATTATTTCATTTTGTTTAATGGTTTTTTCATGTTGTTTTATTTCATTATAATACTATCTATGAAGGCAAGGAAATCTGAGAGATGATGATGATGAGGAAAAGGAAAATAGTTCCAGTTAGACCTCAATTCTATACCTATTTTTTTATCAAGGAATGGCTTGAAGCAATCACCTTGGTCTAGTTACACAAGAATACTACATATTATTACTCTTTAACACATATCATTTCAAGATACACTACTGTATTTTACAAAAATGAGGTTCATTTACGATTTGATCTGTTCAGAGCAGAGGTACCCACAATGTGAGTGATCTCCTGAAGACCTACAAAGAAGAATGTGTAAGTCTTTCAGCCAACATTCAGAACACTGGTACTGATAGAATGAGAAGACCCTTCATAGTCATTGAGTCCAACTACAGGCCACGTAAGTATACTTTCCATCTATGTTAAAAAAAAAACAACTATAGGAACTTAAGGTGAAGCAAGAAGATCAATGTTTGCCCCTGCGAGTGTTGAGTGAGTTGGTGGAGATTGTTGAGGTCAATGAGGTTTCAAAGCACACTTGTGGAAACTTTAGTACGGTACCAATGGTTTAGTGGTGAGCTGGCAAAGCATTGGCTGTTTTGTGAAAGAGTTTCTCAAAAACATTGATTCCTCTATTGTTGTTCAGCGACGGTTTTGTAGGTATATTAATTTCGATTGAGCAGCGAAAGAGTCTAGACTAATTTTTAATATACCCCACCACACGGCAACCTTAAGAATATGCCAAGGAATAATGCCCTTCCCTTCAGCAATTTTAGTTTACCAATACTAGGAGTCCAGTTTGTTTGTATAAATCTCCTCGATAAAATCCACTTTGCCACTCTAAATCAAATTCAATAGATGATTTAATTTAAATGATTAAAGCAAAGCATGTTATCAAAAAGATGTGCAAAGCAGTAGTTTGGTGATGCCCAATGGTAAGCTTAAAGCTTAATAAACTGTACCTTTGCTTTGACTAGCTTCCAAAGCTTCTCTCTCACAATCGATATTCTCTTGGATACAGACAGATGTCGGATGGCCTGTTATGACTACATTTGGAAGTTGATTTGTGAGTTCTTATACTTTCGACTCATTTGCGTTATGAGAAGGAACTCTTCCTTGAATTTAAATTCCTATGGCTATATTATTGTACATAAACTTTAGGTATTGCCACTTTTGAAAATGTTTCATCGTGCATATAGCCTACTCTTCTGGCCCTTTGCTTCATGGCTACTAAAATCCTTCACTTCTGATAAGGCTCACAATCTTCATCAATTATTTTACCTCACCGCACCCTGTTATATGTTAAGCTCCCAAATTATTCACTAAGAAATCAATTCTAAATTAACAATATTTACTTTTAAGAAAAGGGGGAAATTGACGAAGAAATTGTATTTACCAAGCATGACATAGGAATCCTTTTGTGAAAGGGGTGAGGCTCAAAAGTTTTAGGACTATGAGGTATCACCCAGCAGCTATATGTCTTAATAATGATTTTTTTACGCACTTTGATGGTAAAATAACAAAAAGTAATGGCAATTGAGGGAAAAATAATTCCACACAAGGTAAATCAGATTCTATCTGAATTTAAAATTTTATAAACATCTTACAACATGTATTATAAGTCATACTTCAATATTTTGGATGTACGACAATATTTTGGATACAACCGATTTGAGTACACTTTAAATTTTTCAGCAAGGAAGCTCTTAGCCAAACAACTAGCTGACATCTTGAACGGTTACTACATCTCAGTGCCTCCAAGGTGCCTCAGAGAGTATCTCTACACATTCGAGTTCAACCCCCGAATGAGAAGAGCGTACTTCGGACTGGCAGTCTACGCTGCTGCCCATGAAGCACGATCTTCATATTATGACAAACCAGTTATATGTTCAGGGTGAGTGTTTTACTAATCTTCTAATCAGTTGAAAGCTGAATCGTTCTTTATGATAAAATGTTATATACAAACTTAAGAGGTTACAATGCTTGCTTGGTAATCAGTATTGACAGTTCGATCTATAGAAAAGTCAGTAGTTTTTTGATGGTTCAAAACTGGGGCCATCTTGAACATTGGGCTTTTAAAGAATGGTCCTGTCCAAGAAAACAGCAGATCTTATTCAGTGCTATTCAGTGTAGTAAGACTATTCCAATCTATCCTTCATTTCTGTATTCACACTCAGCCTAAAATACACACGAAATGTGTATCAATCAATGTTTAGAGAAATTGATTACTGTTTGATTTTTTGAGGACCTAATATTACAAGACCTCATCAACAAGATCTAGAGAATAGTTAAATTATAATAGTATATATTGTGAATGTAAAAATTTTTGACTATTGATAGATAGATATAGACACTGAATCCTCATGTTAAAGTTGTCACTTTTTCATCGAAATTGGTAAAGTTTAAGTAAGCCACCGACAGATTGGGTTGATGTAAATTACTGATTTCTGTCAAATATGCTGACTTTTTTAACAAATTAAAACTAGGACAACTCATTGTAAAACCAAAGCAGAGAAATGTAGTGGGTTTTGGTCCTGGCGCTATCACTTTAATTAATTACTGTATATTCTGCACTGTACCAGCTCACTCGATCCTAGCATGGCTTCATCATCCTACTCACAGATATGAGGTCCGTGCAGACAGGCTAATTCAAGATTGAAGCCACCAACCTCTTTGAAAATTACTAGTTGGATCATTGACAAACATGGTGTAACAGGTACTGGGCCGACCAGACCACGTTCGCTATTGCCAAGGAGTACGAACTAGATGATCTTCCCGAGAAGGGAGATTCTGTGTATACTTGGCCATCAGACTTGCTCAAACCTGATGTAAGCTTCCTTCTCAACGTTCCCTCCAGCGAACTAGAGCCTCAAGAGACAATACCCTTCCCTGACGACTTCCAGAGAAAGTAAGTTGAGAGGTTGAGTAAAATCTGCTTTCAATTTCTAGAATAAGTTTATTGGTCCAGTGAACGCTGTTTCCCTTCCCAATTTCCAATGGAAGTCGAAAGGATGATTAAATGTTATTTCCAAATCATATTAAGAGGAAGTAAGTAACTGAACTATATTTTTAAGACAACCGTTTCTAAAAAAAAAGTAAACTGAGTTTACAAAACCAAGACAGCCTTCAGAGGAAGTAAGATGAGTGGGTTAAACCACAGATTACATTTTCCAATTCCTAAATTTTAATTCCTTTCCCAATACCTTACTTTATTTCCAGAAAGTAAATAAAAATATGTCAAATAACACTTCAAATACCTATACATTTACACTTATGCTGTTGATTGATAAGACGGAAAATATATATTATAAAAGATGGTAAGTGGTGACCGATTTTGATTGGACACTCCAATCATCGCCAGACCCAATAATTTTGTGAATGACTACTGTACTTCATGGTATTTCAAGTGTTATTAGACTTACTAGAGGGTGGTGTTCACACAAATACTTAGTGATTGATATTGGTGTTCAATAAAAAAACTAATTATTTTGTAACTACAGCTCTAGTAAACTTGGTTGTAGACTGAAAGTAACCATGTTCAAGCTGTGGCGAATCATAGCTCGATTCTTTTCAAGCAAAATGTAAACTCTTTCCTCAAAATCCCAAGTTACTTGAAAAATTGCTGCAAATTTTTTATCGCCTATATCTTCTTCTACCAATCCTTCTACCAGAACTACAAAATTTAACTACGGTTATAGAACAAACTGTTAACATCTTTATGTTAAATTTTCAGTTACTTGGCTACTATAGTAATTTTAGGTTTTATTCAGTAAGTGAGTATCTTAGTTAATTATACACTTCCCACATGATCTGTGACTTCATTCACTACCATTACCTTAAATATATTACTGCATTTAAATTTTCGTGTAGTTTTTTGGGCAGTTTTCAGTACTTTAACCAAATCTGTTCTATTCAGGAGACTAAGGGCCTTCAAGCGCTTGAGGAAGCCTCGACTGAGAGAGATCAAGGAGATTTACTACTACGACACAATCCTAGCAGTAATGCAAAGCCAGATGCTGGACATATTTATGCACCCAAGGTGGAAAGCCAAGAATGTCAGATACTAAAATATACTTATCAAATTATACAACTCATTACTTCCTTCACACTTCTCATGGATATTAGATAGATATGGTTAATAAGCAAATCAGTGACACAACAAACCCTTTATACATGTTAAAAGACAACGAATACTCGTTGTGCCAATTAGAGTGGAGCAGGATGTGCATGTGCAGAATAACTCTTCCCCAACCACTGCCACTATTGTTATTTTGTACAGTCATTTCAACAATTAATTGCCATTGGTTTAACTTAATACCACTAGCGAATTGTAGTTTGACACTCTGTGTTGCTGGGGATTCTGTCCTTCATACCTTGCACACAACGTCCTAATTGACAAAATTTTTATTAAAAATACTGTCAACAATAAGCCCAAGCGTAGCAGCTCTAAGCTTGACTCGGATTGCACATACTATGTCAGGTTAAGCTTTCAGGAATTTTTATTGAGTCAACTTGGATATAAATGTTTGTATAGGTTCCATTTTGTCACTCTTCATGGTTCATGGATCTCTTCATGGTTCATGGATATTTTGGGCTCAAATGATGGTCAATTTGTAAGGATACTTGTGTATACTTTGGCAAATTTGATGTGGATGTAGTGAATGACTATGTCTGTATAATTATTTAGACTGAGACTGGTTGATTCTTTGCAAGGACCATTTTGGTGACATTATAGTATTAATGAAAAGCCTAGCTTATTATATGGGGAATTCGCTAAAAAGGAAGGGTACTATTACCCACACAGCACATGGCGTTCCCAGGACATACTATTTGAGTGCCACATAAAGGGTATCGTGGATATCGAAAGGACATCCATTGTATATCCCACTCTTTAAGAGGTGTTTACCTTCATATAGCCATGTTACAGTAATTTAAGTTATTTTATATATTGTTCATAGCAAATGTTAATTTAACAAAAACATTTACTTACAGTTACTAATCAGGCTGGATGATTAACAGAGTTGATATTGCAGCAACCACTTAAAAAAAGGTTAGCTGCTTGTTTTAGTTAATTGTTGGCTAGGATACAATAATGGGCACAGGCTCTAGAGGATGGTGTAGAAGATTCAATATGGTTGGATTTTTTATCTATTAGAATTAAATATACTTCAGTTGCATCCTTATCTTCTTCAAATACTAATAAAAGTGACATATAGACTGATGTTGCTAAATGCATAAAACAGAGGGGCAAAATGAACACTCACTTACCCAGCTATGAATTTTATTTCAAACAATCATAACATTGAAAATGTGCTTACAACTTACAGGCAGTTAATCCCAAAACCAAAAAAGTGTTCTGGTTGTAGTTTGTAGTACAGTATACAATATTTATATCTGTGAAAACACACCAAGATTAGATTAGATTACAGCCACATTACTACAGTCATTATTGAACTTGCAGGCCATGTAAAACGATTATGATAATGGCCATGAGGCCATCTACTTTGTTGTTTTTGTTAACAGTTGCTATTGTTGTTGCTTCCATTTCCTCAAAAAGAATACTTAGGAAAGGGAAGGTAAACCCTGGAAAAAACAAAGAGAGTGCCAAAAACAAAGATAATCTCAAAAACAAAGCAGATAAGAAGAAAGTAGTTGAAGAGGAATCAGAAGAGTCTTCAGAATATGTTTATTCTGATGAAGAAAAGAAAAAAGAGTCACATATTGAGGAAGATGAGGAAGAAGAAGAAGACACAACACCTGAGGAAGAGGAAAGTGAAGAAGACACAGATAAATTAAGCGGAGAAGAAAAATATGGAGAGGAAAGGTTGGGTGTCTTGCAAGACGAATCTGAGGAAGAAGATGAAAGTTTGTCAGCAAGTGAAGAATTTAAAGGTAATTTAAAGGTTTTTTTTTTTTAAATATAAATAATTTTAAATGGTTAAAAATCAAAGACCATGGTATGTTTATAGTTTTGAATTAGTGTTTAAAGGAAGAAGGCAAATAACTGTTACACTCTAGAGAATTACGCTAACGGCTAACCAAATCTAATTTAAGATTAATTAAAGATAGTTAAGGAACATTCCAAAGTGAATGTTAAAAAAATTAATTTTATACTACTCATTGTTTATGAAGGCTTTATTTATATTTGTTATCTTTAACTGATATAACATTTTAGGAAAAAGCAGAGAAGATCTCGAGGAAAAGGGAATTTTTTACAGCCTTAAGAGTATTAAAGCTTTCTTGACACAGCCAATGGTAAGTTCAAGTACCTTAAAATTAATTTATTCTTCTAAACAAAAGATAATATCTTCTTATTTTTGATTGTTAGTGGTGGAGGTTTGTTTGTGCCTTTCTCGATTTCTGTTGACTAAAAAAATTACTTTTTGGAAATTGCAAAAACAGATATACAATTAATGATTGGTCATATTTTATCAGAAGACTGCTTATTTCAAATACCTGTATCATGCTTCTATGTTTGCTTACTACACTCAAAATTATTGATATGGGTTTACTTGTTGAATACATGAGACCAAATTATATTTCTATCCTTCTTTACCTTTTCAATTTATTTGTTGATCCATTTAAAGATCTCAAATCTTTGGATAAGTAAATTGTGTAGTTCAATTCATTCTAATTACAAATTCACAATTAATTTTGTAACTAGCTGTTCGTCAAAATATTAATCCTATCAATAATAATATCTATAATTAATCCTAAAATAATAAATCACTAAATCAATTTAAGGGGAAGGGGATATAGCAAACTAAATATAGGTAAGAAAAAATACAAAATATTCTTCTTTTGTAAAGGTATAACCTATGAAAAAATGTTATGAACCTAATCCCAAATCCTATGAACATTTGTTATGCTTATCTTATTGTACTTGTATTGTTCTATTAGTATCAAGAGGACGCAGAAATAATTGAAGTTCTCAAGAGATTCAACCATTCTGAGGTCCAAGCCCATGAAAAACATGAAGCTTATAAGAACAAACCTCTAGAAGCATTTTACGTAGTGGACGGAGTAAACCCAGATAGTAAGCAAAATATCTTTTTTACGGCAAAGTCTACATCAACGTCCTAGTACCGGATCACTATAGATAGGATATTTATCCTAAAATACAAAAATAAACTATATAATACTTATAAAATAAATGTCATTTAAGATTCAACATTATAATTGAATATCTTTTTTAGCAAGAAGAAAAGTGGCCCAAACTCTGGCTCACAGGTTGAAGGGTTTATATTTAGTAAATCAACCAAGGATTTTACTTGGTCCTATTCCTAAGGAATCTGGGGCTAAGAAGGCTTACTTCGCACTCAGCAAATATGCCATTGCAAATAAAATCTTGATATCACTCTACCATAAACCTGTGATCGTAGAGAAGTAAGTATTTTTTTCAATAACAGGTTTAATGATTTTACAATCAAGTTGTCGTACTGTTAAAATAATCACAATTTTAGGTCTTAGACTGAATTTTCTTTGGGGAGAGTTCTGTTCAAATCAGCTAAAACAAATATTGATGGGTATTTGCAAGTTTTAACTGTTGTTACGAAGGTATCTATATTTTCCAAACTGCGTACAGTTTTTTTTTTCCTAGGACGCTAGCCCGGAATTGTTTTTCACATTACTTCAGGCTAGACCTAGGGGTTGCTGCATTATCACATAGATAAAATCCATTGGTGATTTGTCGGGATTTTAGCTCTGGGTCTCTGGAACCAAAGTCCCGCTCTAACCACTAGACCAGCTCGCTCCACAAACTGCGTACAGTGGAATTAGTTTTATTTTTTGATTATTTATTTTGTATTTATCAAATAATAAATTTACCACATTAGGAATACTGTATTCTATTACCTTATGTCTCATGGTAAGACCTGGGCCCAGAACTGATTTACTTTTTTCGTTTCAAAGTCCCCAGAGGGCAAAAACACCGTTCAATTAATATCTCCCTATATTATACAACTACTCGTATTATAAAATCTAACTATATATTTTGAGTTTTGATTAATTCTGCTTACAAAAGTAGATTTAGATATGGACTCAAATATCAGGATTCAAAGGCCACTTAAGTCCTGAGGTGAGAGATGGTAGACAGCTTATATTGCAGTACGTAGAACACAGTACATCGGTCTTAAGGTCTCAGATTCAAATCCCGTCGTGCTTGGATTGCTCTGGCAGGACAGGGATCGTGCTTGGATTGCTCTAGCAGGACTGGGTCATGCTCAGAATGTGCATCGTTGCAAAGGGACTGTGGTAAAACTTACTGGTTTTGAGGCTAGGTGGCGTCGTCGCCTCTTCTCCTCAACCCAGCCTGTCTGGACCTGTCCTTGTAGGGGACGCTGGGCTCTGTGGCGGGTGGTTTGGAGAGTTTTTTAGGGCGTTGGGTTTGTGGATGGGTGTTAAGTTCGGGAAAGTTTCAGGTTGGTACAGGAGGGTGTCGTAAAGGTTCGGAGGAGTTTTTTGCACGATTCCACCCTGGGATCAGTGACTCCGTGGTAGTTAAGTGACTTTATGGGTTAGGGGTGATGGGTTCTGGCATCGGGAAGGTTGAATGATGAAGGGGTGCGACGCAGCGGCTTGAACCGCGACGTCGGGGCTGGAAGTGGTATTGGTAAGTACGGTAAGACTTGTAAAGGACAGGGAACGTGTTTTTGGATATCGGGACCTTTTCTTGGCGACACAGACATGTTAGAGACGACGTCGGGGGTGGAAAGGTATCTAAGAGGTACTAGGTATTGGATCCCGGAAGAGGTTTAGTTGGGGAAATTTTCGGGTGGGATATCGGACAACGGGTTTGGAGGCGACGCCGGTGGTAGAAAGGTATCAGGAAAAGGTTAGGTAAAGGATCCCGGAAGGGAACTTTTGGATTCGTTCGGGGAAAATTTCAGGAGGGATACCAGACGACACTGAGAGTTTGGCGGTGACGCCAGTGGCAGAATGGGGTTGGGGAGGCAAGTGGAATTCATAGGTAGGTAGGGGAAGGTGTAACGGGTACAGGGAGTGAATGGGGCACGTTAGAAAGGCTTACTGGTATGCCTATATATATTTGGTATGTATATATATGTGGTATGTTTATATATACAGTAACACCTTGATAACAAGACTCTCATAAAGATTATAAAATAAGTAGGGATGGACGGGTCCCGAAATTTCGGGAATTTTTCGGGAAAAAAATATTCCCGATTATCGGGACGGGATTACATTTGACACGGGAAATTTTCGGGACGGGATTTGGTCCGATCGTCGGCGATTTTACCGCTTCGCGAGTGCCGATAACGCCGTTATTGCGAGCGATAGGTCCGCGAACGCAGGAGACGAAGTCATTTCGATGATTACGCCGTGACCGCGGAGTCTTAATGACGATCGCGCCGTGACCGCGAAGTTTTACCGATGATCGCGCTGTGACCACGAGTCATACCGACGATCACGCCGTGACCGCGAGTCATACCGACGATCGCGTCGTGACCGCGGAGTCCTACCGACGATCGCGCCGTGACCGCGAGTCATACCGACGATCGCGCAGTGACCGCAGAGTCCTACCGACGATCGCGTCGTGACCGCGAAGTCCTACCGACGATCGCGCCGTGACCGCGGAGTCCTACCGACGATCGCGCCGTGACCGCGGAGTCATACTGACGATCATGCCGACGATCGAGCCGTGATCGCGAGTCATACCGACGATCATGCCGTGACTACGAGTCATACCGACGATAACCCCGTGACCGCGGAGTCATGACGACGATCGCGCCGTGACCGCGAGTCATACCGACGATTGCGCCGTGACCGCGAGTCATGACGACGATCGCGCCGTGACCGCGAGTCATGACGACGATCGCGCCGTGACCGCGAGTCATGACGACGATCGCGCCGTGACCGCGAGTCATGCTGACGATCGCGCCGTGACCGCGAGTCATACCGACGATCGCGCCGTGACCGCGAGTCATGACGACGATCGCGCCGTGACCGTGGAGTCATACCGACGATAACCCCGTGACCGCGGAGTCATAACGACGATCGCGCCGTGACCGCGAGTCATGACGACGATCGCGCCGTGACCGTGAGTCATACAGACGATCACCCCGTGACCCGCGAGTCACAAGTTTCTATAGGTACCTGTAAATTGTTACCCTTTTTTTGGCTTTTATAGATCAGTGCCACAAATGGTAAAAATTCATTTCGTATGTCTTTTTTGGTAACTGCAATACAGTACTTTCTTTTTATGCACAGAAAAAAATCCCGTCCCGTCCCGTCCCGAAAATCGGGAAGGAAATAAAAATCCCGTCCCGTCCCGTCCCGAACTAAAAATTCAATCCCGTCCATCCCTAAAAATAAGACTTGTTATCAAGGTTGACTTCTTATTGAGGTTTGCAATAACATGTGATTAGGGGTAAAATAGGTTTAAGGGGATTTGAAAATGACCCTTGTTATCAAGAGTGACTTGTTATCGAGGGTCTTGTTATCAAGGTTCTACTGTATTTAAAAAACAACTATCTCAATATTTATTAGGTAACCATTTTTGCTTAAATTTGCCATATGTATGACACTAAAATATCTTTTTTGTTTTCAGCTACTGGATAGAACATGCAAGCTACATCATGGCCAAACTATGGGACAAAGCAGTGAAGTTACCCAGTCCCAACACAGATGTATATGAGTTCCCAGATGATTTACTGAGGCCAAACGTAACATTCGCAATATTCAACTCTCCTCCGCCAAGAATTGGCAGAAGTCCAACAAAAACTTATTTGAGGGAACAGAGGTAAGCTCTTAAGCCTGGGCCTGCGTCACACTAGGCTACTTACTAGCTGCTATTTAGTTGCGGCTAGTGAAGTAGCCGCTAGTAAGCTGTCACAACGAATGTCAGTAGCAGCTACCTAGTAGCAGCGATTCAGCTAGTCGATGTCATTCCTGCCTTTGAACAGGAAGGAAAATTGTAGTTTATGTGAAATGTCTTCTGTTGGTAAGCCGGGTTGAATTACGGCATTTAATTTTCATGTGTAACTTATCTTGATTTCATAGAAAATATCTGTAACAAGAAGAAACGCTCTTGGGGTGAGGGAGTGTATTAAGAGAAGAGACAGGCTGGGTGCCTCAGGAACACTTATTAGAGAACTAGCTGTTGAGGACTCCAAATCATACCACAATATTATGAGAATGTAGGTAAATAAGTTTGATTAGCTGCCAACCTTGGTAACTCCTTTTATTCAAAAAGAAGACACAAAAATGAGGATGGTAATAACATGCCGAACAAAATTGGAAATAACCTTGAGATTTCTTGTTACTTGTTTAAAACACCTCCAGTGTCCAGTTTCAGGGTGTCCCATAATACAATTTCAACCTTTCTACCGGAAGTGCTTAAAGCTTTTTATGAAGTAATGGATCAATTTATACAATCAAGTTGTCATACTGTTAAAATAATTACAATTTTAGGTCTAAAGCTGGGTTTTCCTAGGAGCGGAATCGGCGAGCGGAGAGAGGAACGCGGAGAGCGGAATTGAAATTAACATGGCATTCCGCTCCGCTTCTAGGAAAACAGTAACATTAAATTGCCTAAGACAAGTGGAGTCCGCTCTCCGCGTTCCTCTCTCCGCTCGCCGACTACGCGCCTAGGAAAACCCGGCTTTAGACTGAATTTTCTTTGTCTGGGAAGGGTTGAATAAGTCCTGGCTAATGAAACAGCTGATCTTTTTAGTCAGTATCTATATAATTAATATGCTACATGAAACTTTGTCGGTTGAACTCCTCCACCATTTCTTAACCGATTTTATCCATTGACGTCTCATTGGAAAGAGCGTGTCGCGTAGATTTGCAAACTGGCCCTACATTTTTTTTAAAGTCCCTTGGGCTTTGCCCCAGTGTCTTTGAAAGTTCCCATGTTATCCTTATGAAGAACATAATTGTTTACATTTTGATCAGCTGTATAATTTAATTGCTGTTATTTATTTTTCAATTCAATGAAATGCATACATTTATTTACTATTTGAGTTTGTGTAAACATAACCCTAAACTTAAGCTGCCTTCAGTTCGGCAGTAAAGGCTGCTTTGTATTTCGACTTACCCAGTTCAAAGAGAACGTCCCAGTCCCGGGTTCGTCTAATCGACCGTACAACCGTATCAGTCTGCTCTGGCTTAGTCTTGGCCTTAATTGCACCCAAGACCTCGGCGAGTTTGCAGGTTAAAGTTTGTAGGTAAACATAAAATATTATATAAGTATTGTTTTATTTTTATCAGGCAAAGAAAATAACTTGATTTTAGGCTCCCTAATCAACTTTCGTGCGATTTCAGTCAAGGCAAAAGGTGCTGACTGCAGCACCAAGTGAACCATAACTATGGCTTATACTACAGATCCAACCCTTGGATCCTTATTAACTTGTCCAAATCTTTACAAGTTCAACTATTTAATTTAGTAAAAAAATACTGAACAGGTAAGTCTTATAATAATATATGTACGTAACAATTAAATTATTTCAACAGGCAGCTGCTGGTGTATAAGAGAGTAACAGGGGCCAAGGTTTATGTAGTCAGATTTCCAGAGTCAGCAAAACATCTGTCAGACAAAGTGGACATGTTCCTACTGAACCAGGGGCCCAGAAAAACACCAGTTTCATTTGAGATCACACTTGCTGAATAAACTACACTCTAGTTTGTTATGCTTGTTCTTACTTTCACCCCTAACTTTTTTGCTATATAATATATGTATTATGCTCTAGAGACAATATTCTTGATTACTCAGTGCCAGAAACCAAAACTCAAAAGCCTTACCTACATAGTAAGTTTATAGAAATGTTGTTTATAATAAAAAATAACTATCTATAATTTATCCAGTCTAGGACCTGTCATGTTTAGATTTTTAAAGTTCTAGAACCATAATGATCAACCAATTACTGTCATAAAATTACATGACATACGGAAAACACACACTGGTACAGTAAATAAACCATACCAGTAACAGAATATAATAAAATATCTATATTTTATATTTACTAATGTTGGTACCAGTAGCTAAGCCTTGAGGTATATGTGAGAAGGAGAGTGTTGACAAAGTTAAGACTTATCTATTTATAGGTACACTCCTCATCCCTGGAAATAAATATAATTTTCAATTTTGAATTATATATTTTTTAAACAACTGGATTTTGCATTTGGTAAACCATCTAGAATTCTCATGTCTTTATGACTGTGTGGCCAATCCCCAATAGTTACTACATATAGCTTTAAATCTGTGCTACCATGAATGTAGTAATGTTTTTTTTTTTTAAGAAGAATGCTGAGTATGCTTGTATACCCTAGTTCTTTAGCTGACATATATTTTTGGCACAACTATGGACTAAATTTACCCAAATGAGCTGATTAAATTAAGGTAAAATGGAGACACAAATATACATAGAAAATGCGTGAGGGGATTCAAATAAAACTTAATGTTCGTAATAGTTCATACAAAGTGAATCATGGTCCAAAAATATATTAACTGCTTGGCAGGTATGTTGAGCTTTTTTATCTTTAATTGAGTTTTGGAATTAAATGGTCATCTCCTTATTGGTATGGTACTGCCTTTTGAACAGCATATTTCAACTCAACATACTGTACAGGTTTCCTGACACAAAACTCATAGTAGTAAAAACATTCAACCACTGTTGTAAGATTTGAAGGTAGGTAAATCACAATTAGTTTTATTGATAAGATGCTATCACTACAATTCACAGATGAAAATGTGTGATAAGCGCAGTTATTGTTTCGGTGTCTTTTTAACTGCCAGTGATCAAGCAGGGATGTTTAAAATTCCCTGTATTTCAGTTTTCTGTTATTTAAAATGAATTTGTAGTGTACATTATGGCAATTACTCAAAAATTTTGTCTAATTTTAAAAATTAAATTAACATAATGATTATAAAAACTAGTTTTACTGGAATATGGATCACATCAAGTTTAGTATTGTGGCTCAACGGAGAAGAGATGGCCGAGATGGGGGAAGAAACGGAGGGCCGTAAGTAGTAAGGTGTTTACAATATTTCCTTTGGGGGATTTAACTTTTATTTCAGTAACTATTATAGTCACACCTCGTTAGTTAACTAAACATTTGCTGTTTGTTTTGTTAAAAAATCTTGTTTTATACAATTATATTTGTACCAAATCTTTTATATATTTCATGTTTGATATCATCTTAATGTTCAGTTATTCTCAAATGCTCCCTAATTGAGGGAACACTTAGTTTATTTAATTATTTATTTATTCAAATGGCAAGGTCACCATTTTTCAATGAGAAAATCAGTTTAGTTTAGGTTTGACACTCAGCATGGAAGCTTTTTGTCCCTGCTGCCCATCCCCATGTTTATTTAATATGTGACAGTGACTTTTCATCAGCTATAGATTTATAGTACCTAACTTATTTATTATGTGTTGGTATAGGATGTGTTACAGTTCGTTCTGGTTCTTACACGGTGTTGATTGTGATATGGCAAGTTTCATTTTTCTATATTGACCAAAAGCCTTTATTGACTGACTCTGAAAATGCAAAGTGTTTTATGGAAATTTTTGGAAAATGTATTATTTGTGATTATGAATAGAATCCCATACATTTCAAAATTTAGAAACGTAGTACCGGTATCGGTAATTAAGATGAGGTAACACGCAAATATGCAAGTAAGGGAAAAATTATTTTACTAACCTAACCCTTTGACATTGAATTTGGATAGTTATAAATATATGATTTTAGTATAGTAATCTAAATCCAGATTTAGGTTCTATATTTTATATCAATCACATAACCAAGGATTGTCTTTATTTTTCAAACTCCCTTTTTGAAAATAAATGTCTTTATCAACTAATTGCCTTGTTTGTTTCACTAACTATTCTTATTATTTCCTTTTTTGTAGCACCAGAGAACTCTACTCTCAGTAGTATGGGAGGCTATGGTGTTTGGCACAGTGCACAAGATATACTTAGCATTTTCAATGGGGAAGAGGTAATTTAAGTGTATTAATTTTAGGAAAGTAGTTTATAAACACATTTAAAAAAATATATTAATTGTTGGTTTGTTTTAACAGAATAGCCATGATTTAAAAAAGAGTTTACAATGATTAATCGATGGTTTTACTATACATACATAATCAATGCACAACTTTCAGTTTTTAAAACTACTAACAAGTCAACACTGCTAGGTATGCAGACAGCTGTTTCTATTCTTGTTCTTGTACTTGTGCATTGTTTGTTTATGTTTATGTTTATGTAGTGGAGTGGATGATATTGATGTTAGGTTATGGTCGTGTTCTGTTTCTGTTTAGTGTTTACCTAGCTTATTTATTAAACAAACTAGCTCAAAGTTCATTCTTACGTTAATTATTTTAATACCGCATACAAATGCCAGTTTCAAAGGAATTCCTTTTTAAATCTTTGTACTTACAAAGTAAACCCCTAGTAATCGTGTTACTTATAGAATGTCCAAAGAGGTTTTGGGGTTAGTCTTTTAAATGTTAGCTATTAATGACCATGACATTTTGCCATAGGATACACATTTATTACTGAAATATATTTACAGTTAAAGGTATAATCCAAAATAGTTGTCGTTTAGCCTAGTTAGCTATTACAATTTTTTGTTAGCCCAGTGCTTAAAATAGCGTTTCAGACTATGGTTAAGGGATGAGCATCCATAGGTCAACCATCGATGTTCACCATCAATGGTAACACTGATGTACCGAAAATATTTATGTTTTTTCAGTTTTTCGTCTGCTTTTTGTACTCTCCAGTAATGGAAAACATCAATATCCCAATACTTGGCCAAAAACATTGGTAACCTACCATCGATGTTAAAAACATCGAACATCAATAGAAAAATATTGATGTTTTGAAAACATTGACTATCGATGCTCATCCCTACTAACTTATGGTGTGAGAAGAAGGGGTTTGATTCCCAGCTTATACCTTAACTGCTTGCCCTAAAAAATAATTTGTGTTAACAGTAACTTATGTTACCGTACCTTTTTTAAAAAATTCCACAGGCATGGTAACTGTTATTGATCAAAGATAACTTATATAATTTTTAATCTAATTTGGAGTTAAGCCGAATAATTGTCAAGTGAATACAGTTTTGCTTTTAAACCAAATTTTGGGTTGTAGTATCAGAAGTTGCCGGGTATAAGAGCTGTTGTATCAACCTATCAAGAACTCTTGAGTCAACCTTCTTATGACCCTCATGATGACCCACCAATTGACCTTAGACATCCCTTCATTGCTGTTGAGGGGACCCACAGGGATAGTAAGTAACTTACCCTACAATTGTTGTTTGAACTAAAAATTGCATTACTCTGACTAATTTGTTAAATGTGGTAACAAATCAGTGCGAGTTACAGGTTCTTTTCTCACTATATCAAGCAATTGTCACTGTTTGGATTACCGGTAAGTAGTATCAACCTAGGCCTATTGTCACAAAAAGCCTAGAAGAAATAAATAATTGTTATTGGAGACTGTCTCCGGCGTCTCTTATTGAGAATGATGATGACTTGGTGAAATTGATTTCCATTGCAACATAGGTACAGTAATTTTAAATACTGAGAGGGATGGGACGTAACCTAAATGTGTATTTTAACTCAAATATGAATGAAGGATGATTATAAAATGGAGTAAGACACCTTTTGTAGCATTATTACAGTACTGACTTAGAACTGTTGTTACATTGCTGTTTCCAGGGCCATTTTTTAAAAGCCCAATGGTAACTGAGAGCTAGCCTTTTGGTCTAGTTTTCCTATCATTGGACTTTTAATAAATCCAACTCTTTTCTTAAACTCGGGCTGTCACTAGCAATAGAAGAACTAGTTAGGAGTAGCAAGCCTAGTTCTAATCAAAGAAATTTTGTTTTTAGGCCGAATCATATTGGGCAAGGAGTTGGCCAATTATCTTCGAGCAACTTATCTGGGTAACCCCCCACGTTCCATGTTGCCTTTGCGTCGGTTGTTCGACCGCGAAAAGGGAATGCTACGCAAAGCATACTTCTCTCTATGCATGTATGTGGGAGCACATCACGTGAGAGAAACATGGGTGCGGGAGCCTGTCGTCACTACAGGGTTAGTTGAAAACTTTATGCTCAAAGTTTTAAGATAGGTAGATTATAATTTATTTTGATACTGTACTTCAGTAGAGTCCCGAAAATTCAAACTAGCAGGCATCCAACCCTATTTTAATTAACGATAATCCGATAAAACAGATTTCTGTAATGATTGATTATTGTTATCGCAGGAGATGTTTACGATTTTGTCAATATTGGAAAAGAGGTTTTTAATTTCGCTATGACCACAGAAGGTGATCACAATTCCGTTGTAACCTCAGAAGATTTTTACAATTTTGCCGTGGTCTTTCTTTTTGTGAGTGCAGAAAGCCTCTGAAGATGCGCAATTGGTAATTTTGCCACGATTGCAGGTGATATGTTCATGGTTTTGTCAGGATTGTCAGAGACGATAATATAACGATGTCTTCACAACCACTATTTTGCCGTGACAAAAGAATAGGCCTACTTTATTGTTTCCGCCGTGGCTGCAGATGTTTTCAATTTCATGTTAGCATCATACTAAAGCAGTGCTTCCCACAGGACGAGAATTTTCGCTCTTCATCACGCTTACTTGAGCCTCGCCCTGTGGTCAAGATGGGAATACCACATGTCGTAAGGCGTGGACTGTTCACACGAGACACGCTTCATAAGTTAGTCTCTCTTTTGTATTTAGTCCACCTCAGACAACGGCAGAGTGTTTGAGAACTGTGCAGTTCTGTTGTTAGTATAATTTTATTGCAATTTTAGGCAATTACTCTACAAGTTGAGTCATGATCTTTGTATTCTTTGTAGCTTGCACCATACAGTGACCGCTCTGCAGCATAGGCCTACAATTCAAGGAACTTCAAAGTTTCATTGTCGTGAAACACCACTACTCGTACTACATGGTTTCAACATAGCACATCCCTGAAGTTATACAACACTACCATAACACTTTAAGAAAAACCGCCTAAAACAGCTAAGAAAGCAAAAATTGGGCTGCATATGCCCAAATATTCTACCTGTTTAATCCGAAGTGTGGCCATTTGTTGATAATAAAACCACACCACACCGAGTTACCTCACCGGAAATGCAATCCACGTCGATCCCACAGAGCGAATTTTCACAATTTGATCCTTACTACTATGCCTCACGCCCCTTAGGAATGCTGCTTAACATCTTAGAAAAATATTTCCAAACTTTAGTTTATAATATTCAAAATAGCGGAACTCGACTGTACTTTGATGTCTCCCACTAGAAGCACTGTTGTGTCGTGGTTTTCATTTTGTTGCTAGCCTATTCATTGAAAAATTCTCACTCATAATAGCTTTTTTATTAGGTAATTTCTTCATTTTCGGCCTGCAACTTTTGATAGGATTTTGGGGCAACAACAAAAAAAGAATTCTGCTAGTAATTTTTAATGAACAATTAGAAAAACCCTTATTCTTAGATTTTCTGATCCAGTTAAAGAGTTTTATGGCGTACAGGATCGTAATCTACCCCTTCTCTAGGTTGAAAGGAACCCGAAACTTGAAGATGGGTACGTCTACAAAATATGGGTGCGTAGTATAAATAATATAAACCCACCACCAACAACAACAAGTTAAACATTAAATCGTACCATGCTATTTGAACGTTGCTGTAACATTATCACAATATGTAGGCCTAGTGAATTAAATCATTAGGTTTTACACTTGTAGTGCTGTTGTTGAACTAACTCTTATGCTACAGGTATTGGCTGGACCAAGCAGCATTCTCGATAGCCCAGAGATTCTCGTTGATGAATTTGCCGCCAGAAGGTCATCCCGTATACGAGTATCCTGAGGATCTCGTCAAGCCTGATGTGGCTTTTTTTCTCAACATCCCTTCACTCCGAGGATCTAATAAACCTCCAAACCCTTTCAAGCCTAAGTAAGTATCTTTGGGAGTTACCACCACATCCAAGTCAAGTATATATGAAGTTTAATGGTAGTTGACTTACACTTGATCTAGTTCTACTTTCATTTTTGAAAAATTGTTGTCTAACACCATTGACTTTCAGTATTGTATACTTACCAATCTCCCTTAAGTACGATTTCGGCAATATAGTAAACCCCCTAGGTGTTCTTAGTGGCATGATTATTTTATTCGCCAACACTATTATTCCGCCTTAACTACAAGGGCCATACAAAAGTAACAGACATTTGGTCTCGGTGCACCTTGGTACTAGGCTATTCCCGCCATAATAGCATCAGAGCGTTCTTACACTCATTAGGCATCCAGCTATGGTAGCGTTCCCATTATTTCCCTCGTACTTTTGTTCTGCAGTGGAGTGTTAAAATGACTGCTGTCATTTGCATAATACAGTAGAGTCCTGCAAACTCAGCGTAATGTGGACTCGAAGGGTGCCGAGTTTGTGAAATGCCAGGTTATCGGGAACTAGGGTTAAAAATAAGAACAATACAATTTTTATTCCTTTTAGCTGACTTATTTATTTACATTTATTTCACAAGTAGGTATTAAGTCATCAGATATAGTACAACAAATCCTTGGTAAGAGTTGTAAATGCTTTGACTTGAGCCCATGTTTAACTCGGACTCAAAAAATCACTAATTTTCTGAGCCAGGTGATGGCCGAGTTATCCAGACTGCCGGGTTATCGAGTGCCGAGTTTGCGGGACTCTACTGTATCAAGTTTTGAGGTGTGCTTTGTTATCAGATTTTTGTAGGATAGCAACAGGTTTGCTTGGATTCTTGATTCTTTTTTTCTTGTGCGAGCTTGGGTGTATTTCCATTCCACTGACTGCCATTGAAAGTTAACATAGGTACTTTACCCAAGTCTTGTTACCTGTTAGGATGCGATCTGCCATTCTCAGTGCGAAACAGATGACAAATCAAGTGGAGCTTACAGGGAGAGGTTCCAGGTTATATATGGAGGGGTGGGGGTTAGACGTCCCACTAATGTGTAGGAGGGCAGACATGTTTACACTGTGTGTGTTTTCCCCGCCATTCAATGACCGCTGTGAACCTCGTGTCTTGATGCTTCCAGAACTTTCTTAAACACACTTGACTTTGATTTTGTTTAAAGTTGGCATCCAAGTGTTACTTAGATCAAATCCTTGGTCTTTGTTGAAATTGTCTGTGTGTTTTCTAATTTCTATGCCTTCCAGAATCTTTCTTTTGTTATAAATATAACTGGAGGCTAAAATGTTGATATTTTAAAATCAATTGCACGTCTTGTAATAAACCAATGTTCCGCTGTTGCTGAATTTTATACTTTACAATTTTTGGTAGACCTGTTATTCTAGTCCTGATTAATTTTCCAGTTTTTGCGACGTAACATTATCCACAGCTAAATTGCACGTAATATATGCCTGACGTGTGCATTTGTAATTTATCTCTTACTGGATGGAGCAACTGCTTAATTTTGTGTGGGGTTTATAAATAGTTTTAATTTTGTACTTTCTCAAGAATCTGCCAATTTTGTCTGTTGTTCCTTTAGGCCTATACAGTGAAAAGGCTCTGTTTTCATGTTCCAAATTGTTTCTCCGATTTTTGTTTTTTCCGTGTATTGGAGATATACTTCCACTAAAAACCATCCAATAATTTATGATGTTTTATAAACTAACCTTTTCAATGGAAGAGATTCACTTTACCACATTGTTTACCTACTTTATAGCACTAGTGTGGTAAAGTAATGGACCAATAAGGTCAAGGATTGAGAGAAGAAGTAAAATTGTAATGCTTTGTATGCCAACCTAAGCTGTTAGCGACAAATTCAATTGTTGATCTGACGACTTCTAACAAAAACTCACACACTCTTTTCTTAAAACCGTGAGGTGAACTTAACGATTTTCTAAGACCCCTTTTATTCACCGGGGCTGCCCCCCAGCGGTCGCCCGCAGCGGTTTTGTTAATTACCATTGCAATGGGTGCTTTTATTCAAATAGGAGCGGTCTCAGAAGTTGCAGCTAGCTGCGGAGGTTTGTAAATTCACCCGCTTGCACTTAGAAACCGCAGGCGGCGAGCGGTTCGTATATGGATTGTGTTATATGGGTTTGTTGAACCCAACGCGGGAGCCCGACATTGCTCTCGCATTGCTGCCAACCCATGTCACCAGTGTCACTCACTACACAAGGTCTAGTCATTGGCTGTGCGCATTGTACTTAACTGTAGTTGTTTTGTCCTGTAACTAGCTAAAGCTCTCACCGTTTAAAATGACTTCATGTTATGTTACGGACATTAATACAGAACGATTTATCGACAAAGTTAAGTCAAGAAGTTCTTTGTGGGATTCGTTTTTCTTTTCAAAAATATAAGAATTACGAATTGTTTTACATTTATTTACCTACATAAATATATAAAACATTTTAATCTGCCATAAAACTTTCTGAACTATGAACAGGTAACAAATTGGTGCAGCAGTCGCCTGCAGCCGCGGTGAACAAAATGGGCCTAACCAACAGTTGCAGAAGGCTTATTGAAAGATTTGGAAAATGTCAGCTAGTTCTAGAAAAACGATCCTAGGTAAAGTAGGTAAACAACTCGGGTAATTAGCCTTTACAACACTCATAGAAGTTTCAAGGCATTTGCCAAAGCCAGTACCGTACCTTGAATTTCTACCTGTTATCTTTACATGATTGTCGTAAACTACTATTACTATATGGTGTTTCAACAACTTTTCTCCTATTTTCCAGGTTGGTTGAAGTATACAGAAGACTACGAGGTGTAAAAATAGTTGAAATCAACTCCACCGGCACTTACAGGAAGATCTTTGAAATCATCAAAACGCATCTCAAATTTATGTTCAACAACAAAGATCCAGTGACAGAAAAAAATCAACTGGAATTTTGGGACGGAGATCAGTATGGCCATGACAACGGTTTTGACATGTAAATAGGTGAAAATAAAAAAATATTATTACTGTTTGAAAGACGTTTTACTTGCTCTTTAGAACTGTGTAGAACTGCATTGGTATTTGGTAGTTAAATGTTGCTAAACAAATCAATAGTTTTCTATGTGAAGAGAAAAATTTGTTAGATTCTAGTAATAGGCCTGATTTAAAGGATAACTAGCTTTCGGTTTATAATCTATATATTTAATACGCTAGGCATATTTTTGTCATAATTGTTTTGGAGTGGTGGTGCTACCGATCACCATGTCCAAGGTGCCGTTAGAAAGGTAAAACACATATAAAAAAAGGTAAAGGGTAAAGTAATATATTAAGAAAGGTAAAGGCATATAGTTTTGCCATCAAACAAAAAAAACTTTGGAATTCCATAAGGGCTCTGCCCCAGTGGCCTTCAAAGTTTCCATGTTATTCTTAGGGAGAAAATGTTTGTTTACATTTGAACAGATGAATACTTTCAAATTGACACTAATATTTGAAACAGCTGGTTATACTAAAATTTTGCACAAAATCAAAACATAACCAAAAAACTTTCGACATAATGGAGACTATAAGACGTTGACCAGGACGGCCAATAGGAGGAGGTCGACAGACAAATTTTAACTGGTAGACGAGAACGAAATACAAATAATACTATTGTTGTTGATAGTCGAATACAGCAAGCACCCTTCCGTGCTGGGTTTAAGCATTGACTATATAACACTATAGATTGAAAGCCCCATGCATTTGGTTGTGAACAAGCAATCAGCACACTCTGATTAAATCATTTTTTCCAAGATGGCGCCGACTGGCAAACAGGCTAAATGTGGGTCTTGTAATAAAATTGTTTCTAAAAATTCTAAATCGATCGGCTGCAGTGGAATTTGTCATTCGTGGTTTCACGTTAATTGTGTGGATATTAATGATGAAGAGTTTCAACACTTCTGTGATCTCAATGGTAAAGCTGTGTGGTTATGTGACGGCTGTCGACCTCTTCTCAACACAATGAACACTCGTGAATCTACTGCTGATATTAATTCTTCTCTATCTGAACATGTCAAGAAATTAAGTGATCAAATTCTCGAACTTTCAAGAAATCATGAACAAATGAATCAAGAAATTAAGTCTCTCAATGAAGATAATTTTAACCTCAAAACTGCTCTGAGCAATCAGGCTGAGGCAATTAGTGATTTATTGGTTGGTGACGCTAAGCAAACCTATGCAAGTAAGTTAAAAAATCCTATGATTCCAAAATACATTTCCAACTTGAACACTAATGGACAATTAAATCCTCAAATTCCCCAAGTCACTTCTAGGCCTAGCCCTGTAAATAACTATATAGGCCTAGCTGATGAAAACCTACCGCTCGCTTCACTTCAAGTAAATTGCACCCAGTCTAACGAAGATGATTTCAAGTTAGTGAGCAAACGTAGAAATAAAAACATTGATAGGCCTAACAGTGGAAAATTTGATAAGATCAATCCTAAGACTAGGCCTATGGTGTCAATTCCTGATCGATCTGGGCGAAAATCTGTTAAAGCTCAAACAAACAAGTTCATCACAGGTCAGTCGTCCGAGACTGGTACATTATCTTCAGTAGAAAGGAAAGTTTATTTATTTGTATCAAGGCTGAATTCCGCTACTAAGGTTGAAGATATGGAAAGTTACATTCGTAATAAAATACAAAGTGAACCTGATGTTGTAAGTTGAACTCTAAATATCCAGAGGAATATTCTTCATTCAAAGTGGGCATCCCATCTAATGTGTTGGATGATGTCTTTAACTCCAACTTCTGGCCTAAAAACATATTTGTATCTATGTTCAATAACAAGCGTAAGCCTAAGCCTAATGTGGATTTAAACTCCCAAAGCTCTGCGGAAAACCTCGTAACCTAACAGTGCCTATGACTGTCTCTGCTTCTAGTATATTCAAGGCTATTAAACTGCTTTTTTTAAACGTTCAAGGTTTGGAAGGTAAATTGAATATGCTCAACATACATTGCAACATAAATAATTACGATGTTCTTTGTCTTAACGAAACCTGGCTAAAGGATATTCAAGTAAATTTTATGATTATGCAAGGTTATATTTTAGCCTCATCTTACTGTAGAAAAAGTAGTTTGAGAGGTGGAGTTTGCATATTTGTCACTAAAGACATTGTGTATATGAATATTGATATTCAATGGCTGTGCTCCGATATACATTTTGAGTGCTGTGTGATCAAGCTAAGTCGCCCAAATATCATAGTAGGCAGTCTTTATCGCTCTCCTACTGGTGATATAAATATATTTTTGGAAAGACTTGAAAATTTATTAATTTATTTATCTAGTCACAAGTGTTCAATTATTCTTGGTGGCGATGTAAACGCCAAATTTGATGTAAATGCAAACCTTCCATCCGTCAAAGAACTAAAGAACCTGCTTAAGCAATTTAATTGTTGTTACACAAACAATCAGCCTACACGGGGTAAGGCATGTCTTGATAATGCGTTCACTAACTGCATGGACTTTGACTGTTGCGTTGTTCACCCGCACATAGCTGACCATGAAGGACTCGAAGTGTTGGTTAGAGTGGAAGACTTTGTCGATTCAAACCTGAGGAAGCCTACTGAGTCAGTTACCTTCAGAGATACATCGGCAGCAAGTTTGAACAGTTTAAATTCACATTTATGTGATATTGATTGGTGTCCAGTGCTCTCAAAAGGTAATGGGTCTGCTGAACGGACATTTAAATTGTTTTTTGATAGTTTTATGGAAATTTATAATGTAAGTTGCCCTTTAAAGACACTTCACAAAAAATCCTTTAACTCAAAAAATCAGAGAAAAGTAGTTCTTAAGTGGTATACTCCTGAATTAAAGATAATGAGAGAAAGAGTTATGGCCTATCTTACAGTACATAGAACAACTAAATCTGAACTATCTTTTAAAGCCTACAAAGCTCTACGAAACCTTTATAAAAATGCAGTGAATGAAGCAAAGATGTCTGCTAACATGAACTTTATTGAATCATCCAGTAATAAGTGTCAGGCTGCCTGGTCTCTGATTCGTAAGTCTACAACCTCGACTGCGGAAAGGGTGCACTCTATGATCTCGGCAGAGCAGCATAACAACTTCTTCTTGGAGTCAGTGCAGTCAGCGAAGGCATCCATCATCCCACCTCCTGTCTCTTCTAGCGACCTACTTCATAACACGGAGTACCATCAGCAAGCCTCGTTGAACCAGTGGTTGCCTGTCTCTCAGGATGAAGTGTTAAGTGTGGTGTCAAAGCTGAAAATGTCAAAAAGCAAAGATGCTTATGGTGTGTCAAACGCGGTGTTAAAGTCTGTGATAAGTGCAATCGTAGTACCACTCACTCACTGTGTAAATGTTTGCCTAAACGATGGAGTTTTTCCTGAATCCCAAAAGATTTCACGGGTAGTTCCAGTGTTCAAGAAAGGCAAGAAATCTGAGGTTAGTAATTATAGGCCTGTATCATTAGTTCCTTTGTTTGGTAAAATTATGGAGCGTATTATCTATAACCAAATGTGTTTCTTCCTAGCAAGTAATAATATTCTTAGCGAGACTCAATTTGGTTTTCGTAAAAAGTTATCCACAATAGATGCAATTGAGTCGATGTTGTTCAAAATTATTAAAGCTTTTGAAGACGGTAGCTTTGCTCAGATTACTGCTTGTGATCTGAGCAAGGCATTTGATCTTGTAGATCACTCTGTGTTATTAGATAAATTAAGTTTTTACGGCATTAGGGGTTCATGTTTGAAGTTTTTTGAATCATACTTGCATGGAAGATCTCAGTTTGTAGAGTTGAAGGGTGATCGTTCAAGATGTCTGGATGTAATAATGGGAGTACCACAGGGTTCTATCTTGGGGCCTTTATTATTCCTTTTATCAATTAATGACCTACCTGCCAATGTGTCCCTTTCTTCAACTACAATGTTTGCAGACGACACAACCTTTCTTAGTATAAGCAATGATACAAATGTCTTGTCTAATATTGCCAAAAATACTATTTTAGAAGCCAAGCAATGGTTTAGTGCTAATGGTTTGATTATTAATGAGAATAAAACTCAACACTTACTCTGTCAGACTAGAAATAGAGTCGAGGATTACAATGAACCAAATGACATAAAAATTTTAGGTTTAGTGATTGACAACTGTTTGACCTGGTCTCAACACATTGATTTCATTAGTGGTAAGTTGTCTAGGTGTATTTATCTTCTTAAATGTCTTAGCTCTAGTCTGCCTCAGAATTATTTAAAGTCTGTGTATTATGCTTTTTTTCACTCAATTTTAAGTTATGGTATTTTGTTATGGGGAAACAGTACCCATGTAAATAATGTATTGTTAATTCAAAAGAAGGCTGTGAGAATCATAACTAGATCTCGCCGAAGAGCACATTGTAAACCGTTATTTGTGGGCACTGGCATTTTAACTGTCATTAATGTTTTTATCCTGCATTGTCTGATTAATGTTAAGAAAAAGGAAAACGAGTATGATTTGCGCCAAGACATTCATGGTTATAACACAAGGAATAGGGGTCTAGTTGATGTACCTCACTGTAGGCTACAGAAAACTGCAAACAGTCATTTTGTTTTAGGTATTAAATTATTTAATAAGCTTCATCCCCAAGTCAAGTCCTTGCCGTTAAGTGTCTTTAAAAGAAAATTAACTATGTGGCTTTCATCTCACCCATTTTACAAAATTGAGGAATTTTTTGAATGTGATCTCATTTTTTGCTAATGTTAAATGCTTTTAAGTTAGGCTAGGATTTTTATTACTGTAATTAATTTTCATATTTTTCATGTTCACTATTTTGATATGTTTTTTACCATATTCCATCTGTGATAATGTTAGAAATTTTGTTTAAGTTAGGCTAGGATTTTATTACTGTAATTGATTTTCATATATTTCATGTTCACTATTTTGATATGTTTTTTTTACCATATTCCATCTGTGATAATGTTAGTAATTTTGTCCCTCTATGTTCATTGTACACCTGTGATAACCATTAGCCTTTTTAAGAAAGACCCACTATTATTCATAATTTAAG